ATTATTAGCGAAAGCACTATTTTTCATCCAGCAAACAGTGCATGAATCCATTTTTTCTAAAATTGCAGCAGCAAATACTAGTAAAGAAGCATGAACGAACAGCATAGTAAGGCTCCTTGAAGGTGACCACAGTGAAACTTCAATCTCTTCGTCGTGATTTTGAAACTTTGCAAATGAAAGGTGGAGAATTAGTGTAAGATTTTTTATCTAGAATAGCTGCAATTGTTAATCAAATTAGGTCTTATGCAGAAATTGTAACTGATGAGACAGTTGTTGCAAAAGTATTGCGGAGTTTGATTCCAAAATTTGACCATGTAGTTGCAGTTATAGAGGAGTCCAAAGACCTGGCCACGTACTATTTTGATGAACTAATGGGATCCTTGCAAACGCATGAAACAAGATTAAACAGGGCAAATGAAAAGAGTGATGAAAAAGTCTTTCAAGTGATGGAGGAGTCACCTAAGCAGTAAGATGATTCAAGAAAGGCATCAAACAGAGGACATGGCAGAGGAGGACATCCTGGTAGAGGTGGTAGAGGCAGAGGAAGAAATTGTGGACAAGATGAACAAGGGCAAACGACTTACAAGCAGAAAAATCACAACAGCAATATTCAATGTTACAATTGCAAGAGGTATGGACATGTAAAGGCAAAATGTTAGAAAAAAGAAACAGTAGTAAATTATGCAGAAGATGATGAAGAGGTTAAGCTATTCATGACATATAAAGATGACACTGCACCTTCAAGTTATATGTGGTTTCTGGACAAAAGATGTTCCAATCATATGACTGGAATAAAATCTTAGTCTAAGGAGCTTGACAAGTCATACAAGATAAAAATAAGACTTGGCGATGACGAACAAGTGCAAGTTGAAGGCAAAGGCACAGTGGGAATAAACAAAGGCCGCGGTAAGGTAAAACTCCTCTACAATGTTTATTTTGTTTTTAATTTATCACAAAACTTGTTGAGTGTTGGACAACTTATGGATAATGGATACTCTATTGTGTTTGATAACAACTCCTGTGCGATTAGAGATAAAAAAAATCAGATCCGGTTATTGTTAATGTACACATGGCACCAAATAATTTTTTTCACTTGAGGTGTCGACTGTTGAAAATCAAACCCTTGTTGTTAGTCAAGGCAGTGAGTCTAGATTATTACATTTACGTTATGGACATTTGAATGTAAAAGGTTTGAGATTGTTAAGTCAAAAGGAAATGGTATTTGGGTTGCCTAGAATTGAGTCATTAGCTCTGTGTGTGTATATATGGGAAACAATTTAGAAAACCATTTCGTGTGAGAAAATGTAGAAGGATATCTAAGTGTCATGAACTTGTGCATGCTGATTTATGCAGTCCCATGAAAACACACTCATTAGGTGGGAGTCGCTATTTTCTGTTGTTTACAGATGACTATTGTTGCATGAGCTGGGCCTACTTCCTTCAATTCAAGGACTTTTGAAACCTTTAAAAGGTTCAAGACACTTGTTGAGAAACAAAGTGGAAAAAATATAAAGGTACTTCGCAATGATGGAGGAGGAGAGTCTATGTCTCATGAATTTAATCAACTTTGTGAAGAAGAAGGTCTGCATAGAGAATTAACAACACCATATAGACCAGAGCAAAACAGAGTGACTGAGAGAAAAATTTGCACTGCGGTCGAAATGGCGAGAAGCTTGTTGAAGGCAAAAGGACTACCGGATTATTTTTGGGCTTAAGGTGTTGCTACTGTTGTGTACTTGTTAAATAACAAAGGCAATTCGAAACCAAACACCATTTGAAACTTGGAGTGGTAGAAGACCTTGGGTAAGCCATTTGAAAATATTTGGTTGCATTGCCTATTCTTTAGTAGATTCACATAATCGCAATGAACTTGATCAAAAATCTGTGAAATGTATTTTTGTTGGTTAGAGTACTCAATCTAAAGCATATAGCTTTACAATCCTATGAGTGGCAAGATGATTATTAGCAGGAATGCCGTACTTGCATGAAGGAAAAATTTGAAATGTCAGATTTAGGCAAGCTACACTATTTTCTTGGTCTGGAAGTGAAAAAAGTTGAAGATCATCTTTGAATCTCAAAGAAAATATGCTACTAATTTACTTAAACAATTTAACATGCTGAATTGAAAAGCTGCAGCTAGACCAATGAATTTAAATGAGAAGCTGCAAGGTTGATGATGGTACTGAACAATCAAATGCAAGAGATTTCAGAAGTCTGGTTGGTGGCTTAATTTATTTGACTCATACCCAACCTGATATTGTTTCCTTAATTAGAGTTATTTCTAAATTTATGCATTGTCCATCAAAGCATCACTTTGGAGCTGCGAAACGAGTACTGTGATATGTTACTGGAATATTTGATTTTTGGTTATGGCATGATCGTGTTTCAGAGTTCAAATTGGTTAGTCACACTGATAGTGACTGGGCCAGATGTTTGGAGGATCGAAAGAGCACATCTGGTTATGTTTTTAATCTTGGATCAGTTTCTATTTGTTGGAGTTCGAAGACGCAAACAGCAACAACCTTGTCTACATCAGAAGCTGAATATGCAGCTGCTACATCATCAGCATGTCAAGGAGTATGGTTAAGAAAAATTCTTGCTGATCTTTCTCAAGAACAGATTTGAGCAACTAAAATTTTGTGTGACAACCAGGTTGCAATTAATATGACAAAAAATTTGGTGTCCCAGAAAGAACAAAACACATAGATATTCAAGTCCATTTTATTAGGGATCTTACGACATATGGTTTAGTCAAATTGGAGTATTGTAGTTCAAACGAACAAGTGGTTGACATTCTCACAAAATCTCTCCCATGTGACAAGCATGTCTACTTCAGAAATCTGCTTGGTGTTAGCAACTTTGAATTAAGGGGGAGTGTTGAAGATTGATTCAAAATTGACAACTGAGCATTTTGACTAAGTTCTAATTTGTTAAGATATTTTCTCTTCTAAAATTTCTGATTTCTTGTTAGTAGTGAC